AAATTAAATTTAGTCAAAACTCGCTTAGACATAACCAAGATCCCCAAATTTGGTCAATTTGGTTGATCAAACCAATTCAACTCTTTTTTTTTTTTTTTCCTTTTTTTTTTTTTCCTTTTTTCATTTTTCTCTATTTTTTATATTTCTATTTATTTAATTAGTGGATAATATAATAGTTAAATTGTAAAATCTATTTAAAGTCAAATAACAATTAATGAATGAAAATTTTAAATTAATTTAAATGTAATTTGAAATTAAATTATTATTTCAAATTAGAGAGTGATTTTAATTTAGAACCAAATTAATTAAATTTTGAAAATAAAATAAATAACTATATTATATAATGAAGTGAATGAAATCAATTTAAAATTAAAACTAATCTTAAGTAATTTTAGAAATAAAATCAATTACTACTTCAGATAATAAAATGGATGAAATCTTTTTAAAATAAAAATTAAATGAAATCAATTTAAAATTAAAATTAATCTCAAGCAATTTTGGAAATAAAATCAATACAAGAAGAAAATAATTTTATAATTAATATAATATTAATATTTTAGATGCTTATTAAAGAAAAATATATTATATATTTTAATAAATTTAATGAAACGAAAGTAATTTCAAATTAATCAATTTTGAAAATAAAGTCTTAAAAATTAATAATTACTTTGAACAATAAATATAGAAATGATTGCAATCAATTTGAAAAATAAAATCAATTAAAGTAAAAATAATTTATAATTAATAAAATGAAATAAATAATATTTGTTAAGTTGACTGGTTGATTTGACTGATTAGACTAGTCTAACCAATTGAACCAAACTTAATGACTAAAATAAATTGATCGTGAGTGGAGTTATTACTATACCTTAAATTATTAATGTGATTTTTTATTATACCTTTATATTATACTTTTTCTTACAAATTTATATTTTTTGTTTCTTAATAAATTAAAGAGCATAATAGTCACTTAAAATAAAAAGATGTAGCATTAACAATTGAGGGTGTAACAATAACATCACCCTTACCAAACTAGGTTTTAAAATATTACCAAAATAGATGGATTACCAAGTCAAGCTTTAAAACATTATTTTCAATCCATAGCAGCCTTGTTTCACAGTGTTGCTTTGTAAATGAAAGTTAACTTTTGGGTAATAAATTCAAAATTTACCCCCACCACCCCCCCCCCCCCCCAAAAAAAAAAAAAAAATTCCCCCTAAGTTCTGTACATTGTCTTGTGTCTTACTACCTGCCACTAACTTTAGTTATTATTTTCTCCTTTGGCACAATTACAGTAAATTTTATTTATTTAATTTGGAGAAATTATAATCTAGTTACTCGTGGTTTAGGGTTGGTGCACAAAAAGACTTTGAGATTTTAAAATGTACATATAACATACTTATGATTTAAAGTGGATACACATAAAGACCTGAGATTTTAAGATGTGCAAATAAGGACCTTAGGCTTCTATTAGGTGTATATAACCATTTGAAATTACATGAAATTGTCTTAAATACCCTTATTCTTCTTTTCTTTTCATTATTTTAAATTAGGGGTTTTTAAGAAATTTCAAGAGATTTTTTGCACTAAGTGCAGATCTCAAGTGTTAATGTACACATTTTGATATCTTTGATTTTTATCTGCACATACCCAAAATTACAAGTATGTTATATGCACATTTTAAAACCTCAAGTCTTTATGTGCACTTATCTCAAACTACAAGTAGCTAAATCGCAATTTCCCCTATTTAATATATTAATAGCTAAAGAACCCAATTTATAGGCTTTAAATTCTATATTTACTTAATCTTTTTACTACCCAAAAAGCCTTTGTCCTCAAATCTTTTACATTATACAAACATAGAAAATATGATAACCAAATCTTAACACCATATCACTATTTAAAATGTGTGACAATCAAAATTAGATGGAATTAATCATTTATCTTTTTTTTTTATTATTCATAATTCAATAAAAAAA